AATGTATCTTTTCTTTTATGTACACTGAGAGCATTTGCACCAAGACAAATTCCTTGTGTGTCCAGTCACACTTGGCCAATAAAGAATTATATTCTGTTCTATTTATCTACCTCCTGTCCCATCCTGAACAAGAGGCAAACCAGGTTGGGAAAGGAGGAAAAACCTATTTTGACATTCCAAGACAAAACTTGGAGTAGGTTTGCACGACATGCTAATCTAGGTTGAAGTAGGTACAGATAGCCATCGTCTTAAAGCAGTTCATTTAGCCACTTTGAAAATGGCACTGAAAAACAGGGACCTATGACCATTTTTTACACTTACAACAGTGGCAGCAGCCCTACAGACCCGTGAACAAAATTCACAAGCTTTGCAACTGGCTCGTATTAATGACAGTTGCAGCATCCCAGGATCCCCTTTTGTGACCTTCGGACGAGCAAAACCAACGGGAGAGCCAGATTCACTGCCAATGACCGTCGCAACTAATTTAAACCCCTGCAGTGAGCCACTTCACCAATACGGCAAGGAAGATCGTGACATGGGGGGGCAAGGCTCGGGTCATCAATGCCTCACTTAGCGATGGGACTTTTGGGCTCGGTTCAAAGTCGTCCCAAATTCCAGGGATTACGTGGGAATCCGGCTGTTCTGTTCGGACGAAAACGGGATGGGTTGAATTCGGACAGTTGCCTGCTACATCCAGCTCCCATTGTGCGAATTTAGTTTCAAAGGCTTCCATTGCAATGGGTGTGACTTCAGTTAGATTTCAGGAGCTGCCCCTCCTCTCATCCTGGGCTTGCAAGGGGTCTGTCTGCAGCTGGACACCTCCAACCCCTCCTGTCTCCCCCAACATAAAACCCATGGATTCCTCAAATGCTCTGGGACTCCCTTGGGGAACCAAAGCAAGGATTTGGGGGGCAAAAGATCATCGCCTGAAATCTTTCCTGACTCCTCACCCAGCACATCCGCACACTGGCCCCTGTTAAACAGATAAACAGATCAACAGAATTGGAAGGGACCTTATAGGTCATCTAGTCCAACCGCCCTGCCCAAGCAGGAGACCCTACACACCATTCCTGACAAAGGGCAGTCCAGCCTCTTCTTGAAAGCCTCCAGGGATGAAGCTCCCACAACTTCTGAAGGCAACTTCTGTTCCATCCGTTGATTGCTCTCTCTGTCAGAAAGTTTCTCCTTATTTCCAGGTTGAATTTCCCCTTGTTCAATTTCCACCCATTCTTCCTTGTCTGGCCTTTGGGTGCCTTGGAGAATAGTTTGACCCCCTCCTCCTCCTCTCTGGGGCAGCCCCTCAGATATTGGAAGGCTGCTCTCCTGTCTCCCCTGGTCCTTCTCTTCCCTAGACCAGCCAGGCCCAGTTCCTGCAACCGTTCATTGTATGTTTTAGCCTCCAGTCCCCTCATCATCCTGGTTGCTTTTCTTTGGTTGCTCTTCTCTGTTTCCCACCCCTTTTGATTCCCAAATCTCTAGCAGACTCTCTAACTAAAGAGGTCAAAAATAAATCAGGAGAAGCACATCAAGTAGCAGGGAGTTCCACGGCCTAACTTTGCACCAGAGGTACTGTTAGAACTTTGATGCTGACCACAACCAACCATGAGCCTCAACCTCACCAGGCTATGCCAGCCCTGCAGATTAAAAGATTCCTATTGCACTTCAGCCACAGCTATTTGAAATGGTATATATAGGGTCTCCTGCTTGAGCAGAGGGTTGGACTAGATGATCTCCAAGGTCCCTTCCAGCTCTATTCCCTATTAAATGAAGTTGACTTCATACTTCTAGCCCATAATTACTCTTTACTCTCTTCTCCCCCCCCCCAAACTGGCAGGAATGTTGCCATAAAGCAGGAGGGAGAGAAATATTTCTGGTTGGGGAAGGTTGTGAGAACACAGCCCTTGTTTTAGCATGCGGCACAAACCCTGCTCCCAAGCCAGACTGCAATTCCTGCCTTCTGGAAAAATCTCTCCCCCCCCCCCCCCTGTCCCCCCCCCCCCCACACACACACTCTTTGTGGTTATCAAAGACCTGGTGGTTCTCCCTGGTCTTATGCGATTGCAAAATCCCTTTTTATTCTTTCCGATTTGACTTCGGTTTGTGCAATTTAGAATAGAATACAGCTGGCAGGGGACCTTGGAGGTCTTCTAGCCTAACCCCTTGCTTAAACAGGAGCTACAGACCATTTCAGATGAATGCCTGTCCAGTCTCTTCTTAAAAAACCTCCAGTGATGGAGGGCCCACGATTTCTAGTGGCAAAGCTGTTCCACTGGTTAACTGTCCTTCTCCTATTAGGAAGTTTCTCCTTAATTCCAGGTTGCTTCTCTCTTGGATTAGTTTCCAATCAATTAATTGGAATAGAGCTGGAAGGGACCTCAGAGGTCTTCTAGTCCAACCCCCTTCTGCTTAGGCAGGAAACCCTATTTACCATTTCAGGCAGACCTCCTCCTCCTCCTCCTCTTTGTGGCACCCCTCAAACACTGGAATGCTGCTATCGTGTCCCCCCCTAATTCTTTTCTTCTTTTTTTTAGCTTTTACACTGCAAACTCCCCCTCCTGCCCTCTAAATCTCATCAATAAAAATAGAAAAATGAAAATAAACCCAGCCAGGGTGTCCTGTTAACTCTGGGAGGGGTCCAACAGCTTATGCAATCCCTTTCCTTCCTTCCCTCCCTTTTTCTTTCTTTCCTTCCTTCCCTCCCTCTTTCCTTCCTTCCCTTCTTTTCCTTCCTTCCTTTCTTTTCCTTCCTTTCTTTTCCTTCCTTTCTTTTCCTTCCCTTCCTTCCTTCCTTTCTTTTCCTTCCTTTCTTTTCCTTCCTTCCTTTTCCTTCCCTTCCTTCCTTCCTTTCTTTTCCTTCCTTCCTTCCTTCCTTTTGCTGCCTCGTGTGAATCCCCGCTGCCCGCCTTCGGAATTCCCTCGGCTTCAGC